CGGTTCGAACCGCTGAACCGAACCGACCAAATTTTTCACCCAATTCACGTTCCTGTTTTTTACTCAGAAAATATTAGGTATTTTTTTTTCAAGCAAATGGACACAAACCTGCCAGCCCTGAAAGTAGTGAATTAGTTTGCACAAGAGAGAAACGACAGGCGAGCTTTTACGCTGAGGTGGTTATAGCGACGAAGAAGAAGAAGAATATTATTGAAGCTTCTTAACTAGTGATGTGAATAGTACCGTGTATCGAATAGTATGTATTTGATACCGTTGAGCAATTTGAATATTCGATGAGTATTGAAAAAATATATCGTTACTTCGATACTCAAACATCATCGTTAAAATATATTTTCATAGCAAGACCCTGCAAAAATCGCGACTACTCCATGCATGCATGTAAAGAGTACTCCCGAAGGACCAAGGAGTACTCCAAAATTAACCACAATTCATATAAAAAATATGGTCCAATTAACATTGCGATGTCCTAGGGCAGGACCATATACTCCATCTCTGCATTACATCAGAGTAGCACAAAACTACTCCCAACATACTCCAATGACATTCTCGTTACATTTTTTCGTTTGTACACGCTTTTGTTCTTCACTTCGCAGATGCTTTTTTTGAAATTAATAAAAACCAGAAACAAAAATTAAAAATTACATGTTGCCTCTGACGACATTCGAACCCGAACATGCTGGGAGCTAAGAACTAACAGCTAGCATCTCTACACGTTCAGCTACAGCCAGACATGCAAATGTGCTTTCAAATGCTCAACTTCAATCACATTTCGTTAAAACACGAGCAGTGATCGTATAACAAACAACAAGCTGGTGCAGAGACACTAGTTGGTCCGCTACAGCATGACAGAGGAGCACTTTTGTAAGTACTCCAATATACCACAAATAGACTACATGGTCCAACGATTTTTGCAGGGGAGTAGCCAAAGCAAAGTAACGGCAAAATGTACAAAGATTGAATGTAGAATGGTTGAGGAGCAGTGTATAACCAGGTTTCAAAATTATAATTTACCGGAACACAACGTGGAACAGCAATTCTCTTTGGAGTGATTTTGATCAAAAATTCACAAAAGTTTTTTTGTGTCTGACATAGTCGAGGGTAATCAATATATTCAAGAAAATTTATTAGAAACCCATAGAGATCCGCTCGCGTGGTGGAAAGAATGGGGAAAATATGTTAATCCCTAAATAGCTGAAATAGTTAAAAATTATTTATGATAAGTAAATAAAGGTACCAATAGGCGTCAGTAGTTTATATGTAATGTTCTCATTGGAAATAATTTTTACTAAAAAAGAGTCATTATGAGTAAGAACATAAGATTAAAAGTCATAAGATTTTTATCGGTTTTGGTATAAGGGATTTTTAACGGAATAATGTAAAAGTATCGAGTATTGAATACTTTTTTTATACTGGTTTCCAAAGTATCGAGTATGGATGGATACTTGAAAGTATCGAATATATTCTTAATGCCGCGGAGAATGAGTGACTGCGTGGATAGGCAGGGACTGTTGTGTTGAATGTTTAGTGCCATTGTAAAGGGGGAATGAGAAGAGAGAGTGAGAGAAAGTTAAAGATAAGGATAAAGATGACGAAGAGACAAAGATGAAGTTATAAGTGAATATGAAGTTGGAAGTTTAAGTTGAAGATGAAGATGAAGTTGTATATTGCTTACATAACCCGTCGTCGTCTTCTTTTGCCTTTTGGTCTTCACCTTCGTCTCCGTGTTGATTTTCTTCTTTGCATTCGTTTTCATCGTCGTGATGTTATTCTTATTCATCTTTACCTTCGTCTCCGTGTTCGTGTTTGCCTTCTTGGACATTTTCCTCTTCGTGTTCATATTCGTTTTTGTCTTCGTTTTCGTCGTGGTCATCACTTTCGTTTCCGTATTCGTCTTCGTATCCGTCTTCGTGTTGGTTTTCGTAACTATTCGTGATTGCCTTCGTGGCCATATTCGTATTCGTCTTGCTCTTATCGGCATTATTGTTGATATGTCGATATTTTTTGATAGATGTTACGTACGATATATTTAAATATCGACGTACTCCTTGATATAATCATCGTTGTATTTTTATAATGTAATCGATATATTTGTCGTAAGCGTTATCGATATATGTACATAGTAAGTATGTTAATACTTTGATGTATACGTTGAGCCGTTTGCTATTTACATAAGTATTTATATCAATCTCATTCACAAATAGTCCTATCCTACCGAAACAAAAGATGCCTCACACCGTTGTTAACACCGTTTGTGTTGCAACTTCAATTGCTGCACTTTTATTGCGAATTCTTACAAACATGCAGCTCAATTCCTTACACCGTTAAGCGTGTTACTAATTGCGTGCAATTTAAAGAGCATTAACACCGATGTATAAACAATTTTATTATACATACATATGTAATAAGCGACAAACACTGGGCGAGGCTGAGCCGCCACTGGTAGCAAGCAGTACAATTTTATGGCTGAAAATATAAAATGCAATTAACCTGCGATTTCGCGTGCAAATCTAGAGGTGCGTCGGTCGGTCTACTAAAAAAGCGTCATGTAAAAATAGTGCATTGATCACGTGAGGGCCGACGTCTCTAAACGGTAATTAAATATTTTGTATGAACTGCAAGTCGTTAGTCGTTTTTTGTGGGTATTTCTGTCTTTTCCCCCACTTGCACTCTCAGTTCTGAAAGCATTTTATTTCCCTTTTTGTAAACTTATCATACTACACGCCTCACGCTCTTTCTCTTTCATAGCTTTTTTACTCAATTTAAATGAGCCTTTGTTGCTACAAAAATAAACTGTATAATCAGTGTGCTATATTTAGCATAAAATTACTTTCTTGTGTCTCGTCTTTTTTTAACTTTTGCCTCTGAAAACATTGAGCACATTGCTTCATGCATAAATTTCGCCACAGATTGTTTATCGGACAAAGTGGCGCTGTGCAGTGGAAAAATATTAAAAAAAAAACACCAAATATGAAAATTCAAGCAGATTGGAACCTGTCGTTATAACTGGTCAGGCAGTCATACCTCAGATTGACGTGTTGGTGCCTTTTCCTTATTGTCATACGCACACAAATGCAAAAAAAAAAATGTTTGCATTTCGGTTTGTCAATTTACTGATTAAACCTCGTCAACTAAAAATAGAATGACCATGCACGGTCATAGTACAATTCAGTTTTCATAAATACATACACGTATGTAGTCATACTTATTATGTTCATATTTACATATATACATACGTATGTATGTATGTATATAATCTGAATGGACAAGTAGAGTGACAGTAAGCTGTGGTTTAATAGACAATTTACGAATGGGAACTTTTCGCTCGACAGTGTTCAGACTCTTTAAGTACATACAAACAAATACATACATATGTACCTCTGCTTGCATGTGGGTAATTTCCAAACGAAGTGCCATTTTTTTGTCCCACCTTCTTAAATTTGTTTTTGGTGGTAAAAACTAAAAATCAAAAACCGCATTATACGATCCAAATAAATGAGCCACCCACAAAGTTGTTTTTTTTTATTATTGTAAGTCGTTTTGTTTTATTTTACGAACGGTTTTTCTTTGATATATTTTACCTACTGCATATAAAAATGATTGTCTCGGCTCAGGTTATTCGATAATCAACATGAAAAAAAGTTTAAACAAAGAAACAATGAAAAAAGGCGTAACTGTTTGCGAATAACCACCTTAACTTGTATTGTTTTATTCTATTTTTGCCTGATAAATTTTATCAGCTTAAAAAGCGGGTTATGCAGGACTTAGACTTGACTTGATTTGCCTAGAAACTTAGAAACGATTACTCTCCGTTTCTTCTACTGCGTTTTCTCGTTTTCTTGATACTCAGCTTTTGTATATGTACAACCAAAATATTAGTTTAATTTGTTTGGGTTAAAATTGAAAAAAAATTGAAATAAATGTATTCAAGCGAACCAAATTGTGATTGTTTACATTTTATTTGTTGTCTTTATTTGAAAGTTTGTTTTTCGATTGCCAGATGAATTTAATTTATACAAAAAATCATATTTGTGTTGCATATCTGTAGGAATTTTATTAAAAATATATAAAAGAAAAAAGGTTACGGCAGTATTATTCTCTCACGGCTCTCTTCGCACTTAGAAATTTAAATTAGAAAACCAAAATCTATAGTTCTCCAAGTTTCTCAGCTAAGTTCGGGTAACTGCATACACGCGCTGCTCATTTGCCAGATATACAATTTTCAAATCAGGTCAAGTCTTGCATAACTGAGCTTTAAGTGTGGCTGTTTTGCATAACTGAGCTTTAAGCGTGGATTTCTATTATAATGTATTGATTTTTTTTTTCAAGTTTGTTATGTCAAGTCAATTCCTTGCTATGGCATGCAGCCACAAATCAGTTGTATTTTTTGTCAAAATTTTTTTTTTTTTCGACTACGAGATGCATGCTAAGATCTAAAAAAAATTGCAAAATTATTCTCTGTGCATACATTTAGTTCGTATTTTCGAATTTAAACGCATTTTCTGTACAACGTTTCTGAACAGTTGCTCGAAGCTGTATTTACTCGTATATAGCTAAGTAGTCGGCCTTGCAAAATGCGCTATTTGAATGCACACGAATTAAATATAACATTGCACTCTTCTAGCCATTATTTACTCATAAACGCAACTTAAATGAGAGATTCCAATGGAGTCCCATTTTTTGCATTGCTCCAACTGTAAAAACAAAATTCCATCTAAATGCTGCCCATCGTTTTCATTCAAGCTGCAATTCATATTGAATGTTTTGTTCCATCCAATAGCACCAGCCTCTTAACGCCTTAGTATTTTTGTATGGCGCTGACACACCTCTTCTCCTCTTTTGTGTACATCTCTCTTCATTGCAATCGCTTTAGCTTTACGGCTGTTTGACTGCGGTTGTGGGTGTTGTTAGTGTGACGCATTCACTTTCCAGTTTTTGCGTTTTTATTTTAGTGTTTTTATTTTAAGTTGGTTGAATGCTTAATGGCGTTGTCAGCTGCCGTTGCTGTGCGATTTTCTGATTCTTTTAAACTTTTTTTGTTACTTATTTGAATTTTACTAATTATTCTTTTTGCGCGAATTTCCGCTCTTGTTTGTATTTGTCGGTGATTTTTTGTAGTTGTTTTTTTTTTTTTTTTTTAATGTGCTAGTTTATATAAATGTGCTACAAATATTTACACAGAGGTTATTTGGTATTTTATTAGCAAATTTTCAGAAATTACAATCAACTTTAGAGCTGCTGTTTATCATTGTATTGACGTTTAGCTGAGCGAAATTGAACCGCTAAACTGCTATGGAAGTTTTTGGATATGTATGCCGTAAATGAACTTGTAAATAATGCACTTAAGTAGAATTGCTGAAGGTATTATATGTGTACATTAGAGTGGCCCAAAAAAAAACATATTCGAAGATAGGGTGTGGGGCATCTTCCAAAATTTTTTCTTTTACCAAAAGAGGTGCTGGTACCAAACCTCACGTTTCTATCTACAAATTTAGAGGATGCTCATGACGCTAATATTTTACTCTAGAAGTATTGTGTACATATTTAATCAAACAATTGGTTAAGTATTCTAAGAACATTTCAAACTTAAATTATCTAAAAACAAAATCGCACAAGCTTCAGTTGCCATGGCAACAGTAGCTTTTTATAAAAATCGCCAATATTTTTGGCAGTTTCACAGCGATATGGAAGCTCAATTTCAAGGTCATTGAGCACCCTGTATTGGTTGCAGTAGAAAGATGAAAGTTGGTATAGGTATTACCAGCAGCTGATTGTTAATCACACAGTCTGTTCGTAGAAGTCGTAGAATCATTCGGATTTTCTGAATATCTCGCCTCCAGTGCCAGCCTAAACTCAGTGGATTAAAACATGGCCTAGGTCCGTGCCATGGGTCTGTGGAATATTTATTTATTTATTTTATTTTTACTATCCACATTTGTTTGGAATCCGTTGATAAGTTTTAACAAAAAAAAACGGCTATATTATTGTACTACGTGGTAAAATAATTTGAGAATTGGAGATGCATTCGTCACGCGCGATGTCGTTAACAAAATCCATATATAAAATAATGTGAAGTTTCTAAACGACTTGTGGAGGATCATCCCTATTAAAAAATATTCGTGAAAATTCAAACACGATTTAAATATTCACTAATTGTTGCACTTTCATTAATGACAAAATTCAACTGGACATTTTCAGCAGCTTGCCAGGTTTTATTTTCTTTCCTCCGCTAGCGCAAGGTTGCATATAGTGATTGCTCATGCACTCCTTGTTTTTCTATTATTGATTACTGACATAAATTGCCATATTTGTGCGTGCAGTGCATTTAATCAATCGACAATATCTCGCAAATTGACACGAAATGCCACAAGCATTGGCCCACAAAGGCGCTTTTACGCTGTAACTATTTTTAAAACATAAATACATTAATATTTGCATGCGCAATTGAATTATAATTATATAAGGAAAAAAAAAACGTATGAGCGTGCTGACATTGTGATTAGCACTTACAACGAACGTAAACATAAATTTTGTAATTGTTTTTCTATTTATTTATTATTTGCTTTTACTTTTAGTGTTTTGATTTTCGTTCAATGCAATTTCTTTTTTGCATTATGTAGTAAAAATGTTTATTTTTTAATTTTTAATTGGTTTTGTTGGAGTCCACTGTTTACTGCTTACACATTGTGTTGACGGTTTTTGCTATTCAAAGACAATACTTATTTTTTTTAGAATTTTTTTCTCATAAAACCCTTAGCGTTTTATGTACAGTATTGGCCAATACAATAGCAACCCCATTTCAAAGTTATATTGTTTGCCACTCATGTTTAGAAATGTATTTATTTTTAGGATTTTTCAATTAAAATACAAAACCCATATAAACCTTAGAAAACTTCTCAGAAGTTTTAGAATTTTTTTAGTACACAGTTTTATAGCCCATTAAATTTTTGTGAAACAATGTGCAAGTTTCAAGTGGTCAAAAATTACCATTAATTTTTTAGAATTTTTTTCGCCGAAGGTGTTGCGGGTTTCTTCTATATAAAAATAAATACTGTTAATTCCTTATATGGAAGCAAATGCGACAAAATAAAAATTATGAAAAATTAACGGTAACGGTAGTATAACAATACGACAGTAAACATCTCCTTGTGAACTCCCTATAGGTTTACATTTCAGAATAAATCCCGAGGGTATGTAATTTTATCTTCGCCTCACACATTAGGAGGAGCGGCAAAGATGTCTCTTTGGCAGAGTCCCAAAACCAAAAAAAATCGCTTGACCAAATCTCTAGTTTGTGCAATTGGCCTCTTCGCTTACCATAACCCGTAAGAAAAACCCTGTAATAATTAGCCTCACCTGTGTAGGCTGATTAGTAACCAGCATCCCTTTAGGTTGTCTGTATGTATACCACTGTAGTGTGCTCGCCTAGACGAGTCTCTCCATAATAGAGGTACTTCAGCACGCCTTGCTGCATATATCAATCGTAAACCTGCTTTCGAGAACTACTACAAAGCCCTCTCTCGTGAGATTTACGAGAGTTTGCTTTGTTGCCCGTTCAACTGTAAGATACAGTGGCTCAATTTCAGGAATTACCTTCAGCGCAGCCGTCGGACACGTGCGCATAGCCCCCGTGATGCAAACACATGCCATCTATGGGGCACTAATTACCCCTTAAATTACTATTGGTCGTACTAACTATCATGGTGTACATTCATCTTTGGATCCTTTAGGGTACATCCTCAGGATTTTCCCGCCAGACATTTGCACACCATCAGCGCTCTTGTAGTCTTGTAGGTGGCCGCCTCAAAATGAGTGTGCCACAGAATTTTTTCTCATTCTCTTGGCTCTTCTTTTTCTTCAATAGCTGTTTTGAGGGATTAATATCGGGCAAAAGCAAAAGCCTTGAGAGCGGACGCCGGTCTACAACTAGACTCCACAGGATAGCAGACAGACGCCTTTCTGCGAGCAGAGAGTGTTGTCTGAAGTTATAGTGGCACGCTGTCACCGACACCGTGATACACTGAGAAAAGAGTTTAGTTACTTCTAGTTAACATATTTCTTTTAAAAGCATGCTTTGGTTAAACATACATATCGTCACCTCAATGGAAGATCGACCTATCTCGGCAGCTAGTTCGAAAACGCCCTATCTCATAAAACGTTTCAAGAACGCCCTACTTCAGAATTCGATTGCAGAACGCCCTATTTCAGAATTTTATTGAAAAACACCCCATTTCAGAATTTGGTCCAAGAATGCCCTAACTCAGAATTCATTTCAAAAACGCCCTATATCAGCTAAAAATACATTGAGAATGTGCATGTGTGAAAATGATCATTGAGAAAAATTACAAATAAATTTTCCTTTCGAATTTTCTTAAAGAAAATGGGAAAATTTTGGAAAACACATCGCACTATCGGACAGCCCGTACAAAAATCTATAGATATCATAGTTTTCGAATTTGTTTTCCGATTTTTTGTCTGCTTTACAGCTAGTCGAAAAGTAGCTTGTTTTGCACCGCTAAGCGCACCTGGGACATTTAACGTGAATCGCCCCATATGTTAAAAACTATCTTTCGCTGTTATTTAAGTTCCGACGACATAGTCATAAATAATTAACAATTGTTCTAGTTCTCGTTCTGGAGTAAAATGCCACAATGGAATGGCCCATTTATATTCCCTCTCGAATGACATTAAAATTAAAAAAAAATTTGGAGATATTTGAATTTAAAATTGGCTTTAGAAGTTATCTTCATTCACTCGTTATTTTTTCCGTTCTAATTGAATTTTCATTTTTTCCTTCATGCTGCCTTATGATCGAAGAAATCATAAGTTCAATTGCTACGATTAAATTTTAATATATGCATGTATGTATATTATAAAAATCAATCATTTTTTACAATTTTGTGTCATTTTAATTAGCTTTTTTTGTTTTTTAATTACTTATACATACCGCAAGCTAATCTACACATATGATCGCTTTTCATTTTAGTTCTATTTTCATTCGAATTCCCAGACACAACAATCTTTGGCATTTTCATTCAAGTCGAAACAAAACAAAAAGAATCATTCAGATCCACGAAATGCGGATAGCATTTTTAAATATTTATGGTGCATTTTTATTTTTAGCAACACCCATTTACGTTTGTGTTTCTATACAAAAGCTCTTTCACTTTCGTTTGCAATAAATTTCTGAAATTTACTTTCCATTTGCATTGACGTGCAAACATTTAATTCACTCAAAGGAGATTTGTACGAGATTTTCTTCTAAATATACATACATATGTATGAGGTGAATTGCACTTTTGAAAATTGCAAATACAAAACCTAAAAATTTATTAGCAGCCATTGTTGTCGTGCTAATTTGTCGCTGAGCTAATTTGCTCGAGTAAATTTAAATTTATAAAAATATATACGTATATATTTGTTAACAAATCTGCGACGTTTTTTATAATTATCAATTAATATTTATTTGTACTTTATTTTATGCATTAGAATCGTTGCTGATTGCGAACAGGTGTAAAGTGTGTGGTCACCGTCGTCGTGTTCGTCTCTAACTATTTATTCGCCTCTTTTGCACTAAAATCATCTACAAATTTAATTTATCTTGCCACATTCAGCACTGCCGAGATTAATAATTCTTCGCGCATTTTTGTTGAATGCGAAATTTATGGGCAGCAAAATGATTTATTTGAAATTAATTTAACATAGTTTTTAGTGTTTTCGGTGTAGCGATTTTTCGTTCGTGATATTTGTGTTTTATGTTCTTCATTAGCAAATAATTGATAGATAGAGATAGAGATAGAGATAGAGATAGAGATAGAGATAGAGATA